GAAAGTCAAAACCAAACAGTGAGAGATATTACATTGATCCTAACCAGATAGCAACTAGGAACTGTTCTGGGTCAGCAGTGTCTTCTAAGAGGGAAAAATACAGGGATCAGGATCTGGTGATTGACAAGAAGAGAAGGCAAAGGCTCCACTCCTGGATGGACTCTGGGGAGACCGAGCAGGCTACAGGATAAGCAATCAAGGCCAAAACAAGTACCAATATGGGGCGGGGGCCGTGTAATTCAAGGTACTGCAGGCACACTCCTGCCCTCCAAGTAGTGTTGGGTTTAGTGTAGACAATGCAGAAAGACACAGGACTTCACCAGGGTCATGACCAATCACAAGATCCCAGAACTAGGGTGAGTCCTTACTTCCAATCCTAAGGAGTAGAGACTGCTTCTACATCAACTTTAACACATAACTGGAAGGTTTGGGGGACTTGTATGTGGGATTCATGAGTCGATGGAGTTTCCAGAACTGATGAAACTAAGGCAGCCTTTGTCATCCAGTCTAAGTATTTGCTTCAACATCTCTGGTAAAGGCTCTTTGACCAAGGTAGAATTTGGCCATAATTCGGGTATCGCCTGTGTTATATCATCAATTAATTTAAAAATCAAAGTTTAAAACTATAAAAAGGACTATGAACTGTAATAAATATGAGTAACTGCATGATTCCACACCACATGCCTCCACAGCCACCTCACGCACGATTCAAGAGGCAGAGAGAACGCTCCACGCTGCAAGTTCAACTTCACATTTGCCCAGTAACCTTGGTTCTCTACCACCCATCTGAGGTGCATAGTGTGGGAGTGTCAATCTCTTATGTTTCTTTGCTCCATGCATAGCTTTCATTCCCTTTGTTGACACTGGACAACAGAGCTGCTGGACTGTCCTTGCTTTTGGCCCCTTTTTCCTCAGTTCTCCTTGGCTTCTGCTCTGTATCAAATGATATTAACTAGACCTTTCCATAAGAGTTCCTGACGTTCACAAAATTCTTAGAATTCATGTAGACCTAACTTTCAAAAAAAAAAAAAGAAAGAAAGAAGGAAAGAGGAAGGGAAGAGAAGGAGGGGGGAACTCAGTACATCAAAATGAAAATTTTATCTTCTCCATTGGTCTCTCAGGTACAGAGGGTTAAGTTGACCATACTTTTGCCTTCAAATAACATAATCAGTGGGTCATTCAAAGTCCCCTCATTTTAGTTATTCATTTTATCCCCTCCTCCCACTTTCTCTCAACTCACCATAGGCAACCACGCTGATGTACGTTTATATGCTTTCTAATGGCTAATGTTTGGTGTGTCTGTATTTTAATCCTGCAAGTGGTGTCGTGTATACATATCATTAATTTCTTAGTTGTTTCTCTTAACACCATGATTCTAAGACCCACACATGCTGCTCTGTGCACCTTTACACTCTTGCTCCTAACTGGCGACCCATTCGCAGGTGTACACTTTAGCCCCCCTCCCTCAGCAGTGGACACTCAGGTTGCCTTCAATACCCCTTGATGCCACAAGGCTGTGAATAAAATCCTTGTGCAAGTTTCCTGGGGTATCAGTGTGCAAATTTCTCTGGGATATATACAGGAGTAGAACTGCAGGGTTATTGAGACAATTGTTCACATTGCTAAGAGCTTCTGGCTTCATGGAAAGAATCACAGAAGCATCCATCAGAGAAGGGATCACCTTCAAAGGGAGTACATTCAAATGGTTATTAACAAATCATGGGCCACGTGAACATTTAAATACAGGAGACAGCCGCTTGAATGCTTAGTAACTGCTGCCCACTGCGATGAATCAGAAAGGAATACACAACACGTCTAAAATAAAAATATAAGTCAGTGGGGAAAACAGTTTGGGATTCATAGAAGCACGCTCTCCACATCACTTCATGAGAATACTTCTGTTGTGAAAAGCTTGGTGCACCTGTCTCACCCCACCTCTCTCCCCATTCCCTGACCCCCAGGCCCCTTTCTTGTCCCAGCCACACCCATAAAGCTACCTCCTGTTTGCTCAGTGCCTCTTTTATGGTAGGAACTCTATTTTCACTCTCATCACTGCTGCCTTTCCTGCTCTGAAGCATCAACATCAACTCTACAAAATTTCATCTTGCACCAGGGCTGTTCTGTAGTCACTGGGGACAGCCAGTGCATGATCTACAGCTTCTCTCCCTTCTGTCCAACCTTTGCTCCTTATCCCTCATCCCTACATCCATCAAAAGCTCAGGCACCCTCCCTGGTCAAATCTGAGCCACACTGTTCTCCGGGGAGCCACACTGCGTTCCTTTTTTGGAGGAGGAGGGTGCCTGCTGAGAGGCTCCAGCTTCTGGGCTCCATTTACATGAATAAACAGCTCTGAAAGGTTCAGTTGAAGCTTTTATGTAAACACTCTCCAAAATATGTTCTGCACTGCATTATCCCCAGCAATAAAGATTCTGGAATCAGAATTTGGCTGTCAGTTTTATTGATGTTGCATGGGGTACAGTAGAATACAGCTTTCTCTTCTGGAAATTTATTGACTTGGCAGTGCAGACAGCAATAAAACTGTGTTTTTAATCAGTAAGCCAAGCAGACATGATTGCAGAAGAAATATAGGAAGGAAACATGCCATCATAGGAAGATTTCTCCCCCTACAGTCCCTGTTCTTCTCGGATGCCCTGTTAAATAAGTTTGGGTACTGAAGGATGTACTTCGTGGGACTGTCTTCAGGAATAAAATCAGAGGAGCAAGTTTGGATTACTTGTTCTAGGTTGTAGCATCTCTAAGAGACAGTTGAGTGAAAGCATTTTTCTGCAATGAAATTTCTTTGCATTAGCCCTAGAGAGGAACTGCTGGTAAGCTGCTTTGCAGGAGGAATAGCAAGGGTGTGACATGCCTCTTCTCAAGAGAAACAAGGTTCCAATTCATGTCCCTTCACCTTGCTCACTGAGAGAGAGTGAGTGACCTGGTATACATCCAAAGGAAACGAAAGCACTATCTCTAAGAGACATCTCCATCCCATGTTCATTGCAGCATTACTCATAATAGCCAAGAATAAGGAAACAACCTAAAGTCACTTGACAGATGAATGGATGGAGAAAATTTGGTGTATATATATATGTATATATATATATATACATATGTATATATATACACACATGACAGAATATTTTTCAGACATAAAAAGAAGAAAATTTGCCATTTGCAACAACCTGGATGGAAGTGGAGGGCATTATGCTAAGTGAAATAAGCCAGAGAAAGACAAATACTATATGGTATCATTTCTCTGTGGAACCTCGAAAAAAAGCCAATTTCACAGAAATAGAGAATAGAATGGTGGTTGCCAGTGGCTGGGGGTAAGGGAAAATGGGGAGATACAGGTCAAAGGGTACAAACCTTCACTTATAAGAAGAATAGGTTCTGAGGATCTAATGCACAGCATGGTGGCTATAGTTAAGAATATGGCATTGTATATTTGAAAGTTGCTGAGTAGATCTTAAGCATCCTTACCACACACACAAAAAAGTTAACTACTTGAGGTGACAGATGTGTCAATTATCTTGATATGGATAATCATTCCACAATGTAGGCATACATCTAATCATCATGTTGTACACTTTAAATATATACAATTACATTTGTCAATTATCCCTCAATAAAGTTGGGGTAAAAATTTAAAAAGAGAGAGAGTGGGTTAGGAATCATACACTTCAGGCCAGTATTGCACAGTAAAGAACATTTGGAGACTCTCTTCTTGGTCATGCTACCTTGTCCAGGTTACTTAATCTCTTGTGATCAAGTTTCTTCTGCTATCGAAGGGAAATACCCACCTCACACCATTGTTGAGTGAGTAAAATAAGGTTACAGGTGGGTGTGCATAGTTCCCACAGCACGTTACAAGCATGTTACAAGTCCCTTCTGGGACCGTAAGACAGCTCACTGATTTGAATATGCTCATCATGATGGAGGTGCTCTCCTCCAGCAGCTAAGCCAGTCTCTGCTGCATAGACACACGAAAAACAAGGCAGAATCTCCCACTTCTATTCTCCATATCCTTGATATTCACGTCCCTCCTGAAATGTCCTGGTCCACTCCCCTCTTCTCTTCCAGTCCTTGAGCCAAATCCTTGAATCACTGTACATGCTTGATAAATACTGGTTGAACATTCATCTACGCCTCGCAGATGCTTTCTCCTGAGTTATCTTAACCCCAGTTTCCTTTATCATCCTGTTCTGGTTTTGCTCTCGCTGAGTAGTCACTCTTTGCTCAACTTTTATGTAACGCATAACTTTTATCTCAGTCCAAGAACACTCAGATTGTTCTTCTGGATATAAGTAAGTGCCTGAAAGAATCTCTATAGATACTCCCCGCATAATGGCATGAGAGGCCCACTTGACTTAACCATAGGAGCAAAGTGGTCTGGTTGGGATAATATTAAAATAGGCTGCCTGGGGAAGGTGGTAAAGATCAAAATAGGAACATGTTCTTAGTGAATCTTCCCTTCTCTTGCCTGCCTGGTTTTCAATTGTAATTTCACCATCTATTTCTCCACTCTACCCAAGATAGCTTCTTTTCCATCCTCCCAACAAGCCCATAAGTCCACTCTAAAACTGTGTGTTAACTATTTACTTGGTGCCAAGCCCTATCCTTTATACAGGTTATCTTGATTAATCATCATAACAACCCTGTGAAATAGAGATTATTATTTCAATTTTATAGATGAAGAAATTGCAACAGAGGACTTAAATAATGTGCTCAGAGTCCTATAGCCAGGTAGTAGGAGAGTGGGGATTTGAACCTGGTTGGGTCTGATCCCAAAGTTCACTATCTTAAAAACAAAATTACACACTCTTTGATAAAGACCAAGAATGAGTCATGGCACCTCTCTTTATTGATATAAGTTAGAACTTTCAACCTGAATCTAGCTATTTGGAACTCTGTAGTCACACACACACATTTTATTCATGAATTTAAAAGGCACCCAATCTTAAATCTTAAGCTCTTGGCTCTCCTTTTTTCTTTTCTAGATCACTCACCTATCTCCCTATCAAAGTAATCCCATCTCAAGCTTTCAGAGGACTTAATGAGGTCATAAAAATGTAAGTAAGATACTGCATATCAAAAGACATTTATAATTGGAATAAATTTTTCCCTCAGAGAACACATAGTTGAAAGGGGATAATTTTTCTAGGAGAGGAATTGTGTTTAGGAAACCCTAGTATTTTTATCTTTAAAGTACAAATAATACCCAGGGACCTTTGAAGAAAAGGTATGATTTTCAAGAGTTATTAAAATCCAGATAACTAACCTTGCTTCAGTGAACTGAATGTCTTTTGATAAGTGATGATAAATTACTCAAGTAGAAAAGAAGATAGATTTCAGTCATAAAAACTCTCCCTCTGCTAGAGCATCTATTCCCTCCTGTCACATTTTTAGATAACACCTACATAGAAGAAAATGTGTTGAAAGTTTATTGTGCATCAGAAGATTATCTTTGTATCTAAAATATAAGTGTATCACAAAAACACAGTGTCTATAGCCATACTGATAAAAGGCATTTATCAAAATTGTAAAGCAGCCTGATAATGCAATGTGATCTCATATTTGTGTTACATGTTAACTTCAATCCTATATCCCTGTGTCAGCTTCTAGGACACAAGATCCCATACGTGGAAAGAGAACTTTCAAAGGAGTCCAGTATTCCAGCATCCTCCTTAATGTTAGTCTGAGTCAAAGGACCTCGAGGCCATTTAGCTCCCGGAGAGCATCTAAACAATCCTCTGGGCTTTGGAAGCAGATCTGCATCTCTAAAGGCGATGCTGTGTCATCAGTCCTAGTTCCTTGGGGAACCTCTGATGGCTCTTTAGGGTATAAGCAAGCAATGAGGATATTAAAAATAATTCATTAAGAATTAGTGCATATCATAGGAAATACACTGCAGGTTACGTAAATGTCAGTTTGCTTGAGGCTAACCCTTACGCTTCTGCTCTCAAGTTTAAATGTTGTTTTTTTTTTTTTTTTTTTTTTTTGGGGGGTACATGGGCCTCACTGTTGCAGCGTCTCCCATCGCGGAGCACAGGCTCCGGACGCGCAGGCTCAGCGGCCATGGCTCACGGGCCTAGCCGCTCGGCGGCATGTGGGATCTTCCCGGACCGGGGCACGAACCCACGTCCCCTGCATCGGCAGGCGGACCCCCAACCACTGCGCCACCAGGGAAGCCCAAATGTTGAGTTTTGATAGCTTTTAATATATTAAGACCTCCTAGTGAGGAAAGCAGCCACAGTTAAATAAGTGAACCATTAGGGAGGAATAAGACGAATCAGCCTAGGAACTATCCATCACTGTGTTGTTCATAAAAGACCTTAACCGCCTTAGGCTCAGCCTTTCTGTGGGCTAAAGCTCTCATCAAGTCTGAAGCCTTCAGGGAATGTAAACATTAGATTTTGCGACTTCTTTCTCAGCCGGCAGCAAATGGTAGCTTCCGCTGGGATTTTAGGGGAACATTGACATTACCTACATGCTTGGCGGTGGTAAATATATGGCAAAATTGGTTCCTTTACTTTTGTGTCTTTTTTTTTAAAAAAATCAGCTCATTCACTTATCTATTCATTCATTTATACCCTATGTGCCAGGCTACATGAAGCCACCAGGGATTTAGAAGTGAATAGGACAATACACCTTGTCCTCAATTTGCTAATGAAGTGAAGGAAATGGTCAAATAAACAGACAGTCACAACACAAGAAGGACACTTCGTGTAGGAGTTGACCACTTTGCAATTGCATCAGAACAGGGTTTGGGGAAAGGGGTAAAGCGTTGAGAAACAATGAATCCTAACCCAAATTAAAACCCTCACTAGAGTGATGGAGTTGAGAACCCAGACATTCTGATCCTGGACCTGAATCTTCCCATGAGCATTATTTGCCTCTCCTCTCAGAGCTTTAATTCCAAAAACTGTAAAACAAGGGAATCTGACTGGATTTTCCCAAAGGACGTGCCCACTTCTAACAATCTGTGACTCTGAGTCAGAGATAAATAAGGAAAAGAACCTGTCGCGTCAACAGGGAATACTGAAACTTGCATTTCAACTGCATCTGGGTTGCAGGTGCCCACTGGTGTTCCTAAAGGAGGGGGGCGGGGGGGATGGGCGTGTTAGCACTTTATGATGTGAGGACAACTTAAGGCTTCCCTGTTCTTTTTTAAAAGGACACACTGGAACCCCCAGTTGTTGGGTTGTACACACAGCTTATTATTATGCAGACACAGTCATTTCTTTCATGTTTCTTCTTCTTCTTCTTTTTTTTTTTTTTTTCTCTCTCCCCTAGTGAAATCTCTCAGAGTGATTCCCTGGAAAAGATAGAAGCTAATGCCTTTGACAGCCTCCTCAATTTGTCTGAAATGTAAGCATCATATTGCTGTACACTATTACCCTCGCTTGCTGGAGCCCACTCAGTATTTGTATTCAAGCATCCACTGCTAGGAATCCAAGAGGAAAAGACCACAGCAATTACTAGGTCTGGGCAGGCACTAATTTCTCTCACTGCAGTGGCCTGAAGGTTGCCATGGTGACAACTGCTTCTCCCTGGGAGCTGTATAAACTCTGAAACATCACAACACAAAGCTGGAAATTAAAATTGACATTGTGGAGTCCTGTCAAGTAGCTCTTACCTTATGGAAGGGAGTGTATGGAGTTCTTGGGGTGGTGGAAAAATTTGGAAAGGAGCTTAGAGATCATGAATTAGTTCACTGGGGACTGTTTGGGCATATTCGTTTGTTTAGTAAATGGTTCTTGGAAACCTACCATGTAAAAGTGTTTGGCATGTGTATGTTGGATTTGTTGTTATTATTGTGATGTCTTTGAACTGAGTCTTAAAAATAATCCTTTCCAAATTATCATTTTCCTCCAATTTACAAAAAAGAGGGGATGGGAGAAGACTGGCTCTATTCAGTTTTCAGATGATAAACCTGTGGCCCAAGGAGGTTAACTGACCTGTCACACAGCAAGTTAGTGCCAAGTTAGTGCTAGAAATCAGGTCATGTGACTCCTAAACCAGACTTCTTACTGCTGTCTTATCTGGCCCAAACCTGACCTTCTACAAACCACACCTGCAGAAGAGCTTCAAAAGTTACGGAAGCGAGAAAGATGTTAGCAACAAACATATTTTGAGCACTTGTGCTTGGCCTTTATTTATTCTAGGTTGTGTCATTTAATTCTCACAGCTGCCCTGCAAAGTGGTGTAATTATCTCTTTTGTTCATGGGAAGGAATGGGGGCTCAGAATGGTCGGTAACTTGACCAATGTGGCACCTTAGACAATGGCAGGGCTGGAATTCAACCCCAGCCTATCTTCAAAGCTTGTGTATTCTCCACTATACCACAAGGCCTCCCTATGAATGGTCCAAATAGCAATTATCTAAAGAGAATAATTAATTAATAAGTATGTGGGTACACATGCCAACCAAAGGTCAAATGCTACTGGAATACAGAGGAGGTAAAATATAAATCTCCCCCGGGAAATGATGGTGTAACCAGAGAGGTAAGACTAACTCACCAAACAGTTATGGGGAAATCCGAAGTAATGGGTGTTTTAGTGCAAAAGGTATAGTCTGGACTTCGCTGTGAAGTAGAATTTCAAGAGGGCAGTGGGGAGCAGGGGAAGGTCATTTCCATTACAGGTGACAGTCCTATCCCAGACCTGGAAATCTGAAACTCTTCAGTTTTAACAGACTTCCCAAGCAATGTTGAAGCAGAGCAGCTTGAGATAAATAAAGCTGTTCGTGATGCAGAGCAACATTTATTAATAGATAAAGTATCAATTTATCAATACAGAAAGAAAAATAAAGTGCTCTAAGGGAAAGTTTATGGACTTTTCCCAAAGAAGGCCCTGAGACTAGAATGTTAGCTCCCCGCAAGCGCTCTTTGTCTTGTTCACAGCTGTATCTCCAGCACCTAGAACAATGCCTGGCACATGTAGGTGCTCAATAAATGTTTGTTGACTGAATGAATATATGGATGAGTGGTCAGACCCCAAAAGAGTCTTAAGAAATAAAAGTCCTTTCCATCCTACCCACATAATGTCTTATGTGGCCCATGATTGCTTGACTCAGTTGTTGTAAAAATAATTACAACAAAACGTCACTCACCTCTTAAGAATCAAAGGGACAGAAAGGACGGAAATAGGCACCGAGAGTGGGTAACTTTAGAAGGTAGAATGCACGCTAGACTCAGAGTCAGAAAAACCGAGTTCACCTCCAAGTGCTGCTACTTCTCAGCTCTGTGGCTAGAGACAAATCATTCAACTTCCTGATTTCATCAACTGGAATAGTCACTGTTAACACTGGTGGAGGCCTTACTGTGATCGCGACACAGACATTTACTGCTCAGAAACCACACTACGAGGAAACCAAGCTTTAAGTGATGTATCCAAGGTCATACAATTAGTAAAACCAGCATGTAAAACCAAGCTGACTCCAGAGTCCGTCCACCTAACCAATACACTAGATTTTCTCTACAGAACAAGAGTAATTATCATTTCCTTAGGTGGTTGCTGCATGGGTTAAAAAAGCCAAATGCATGTACTACCTTTTATTGAATCCAAAGTAGACAGAACCCAGTAAATGTGGCTGCTTCCCAAAGTCACTGGGGAACTAGGGAGACGAGCAATAACGCCACTGTGGTATTATGGCTGTACTTTTGTATTTTGCAAAGCCCTGCCTTGTACATTATCTCTACCTATTGTGTTACTCACTACCTGCCAACCTGTGAGGTAGGAAGAGTACTATTATTATTCTAATTTTACAGAAGGGAGCATTAGCTCCGGGAAGTTAGGAGGCTTGGCATCATCACACAACCAATTATCTATAGAATGGACAAAAAGTGCCCCCAATCCAAGCCCCCGGCCTCTGCCCTGGGCTTTTACAAAGACTGAGTGCCCATCTGGATAACTGGTCAGTGTGACTGCCAGCACACTACAAAGAAGACCAGTTTGCCTGCAAGGACAAGTAGCCAATTTGTTCATTTCTCCTGAGAATGGAATCTCCCATCACCCCCAGCGTGCTGGCTCCGTGGTGGGGCACGACCTAGCTGGCCAGGAGCCCTGGATGTTGGTGCTTCCTCAGGGGGTGCAAAGGAGAATGGAACAGACTGCCAGCTATGATGCTGACACCTATCTCAGCAAGAGGTTGGCAGCAGAACTTCCTGGCAATAGCCAACCAGCTCTCACCATTCCGTTTCTATCCCCAGGGTCCCTGGAGCTCCCCTCAAGCACAGGAAAGTCACTTGATTTTGTTGATGCCACTTTCAGCCAGCATCCTCTGGTGACCATGACCTTGGGCACTGCAAACGAAACACGTCTATTAAACGCTGCCTGTTTCTCCCTCTCTCTTTACAGACTGATCCAGAACACTAAAAATCTGGTGTACATTGAGCCCGGAGCATTTACAAATCTCCCCCGCTTAAAATACCTGTGAGGAATTTTCCTTTTTTAAGCAATTGGGGAGGGGAACATGGGCATCTGATGAAAACCTAAACAATTAAAAGGTTGGAGAGAATTTTTAAACCACATATTTAGCATTACCTGCATGTCTGTCCTCAGCCCTCTGATTAAAATTTAATCAGCATTTCTTATCAGCTACCGTGCTGGGTGCTTTCAAATACCCGTAAGTGGTTCCCAACATTTCCTCCGTCCCAAACATCCAAGAAGAGTATCACCCCTTTGCAATGATTTTCAAAGTGATGGTAGGCATGGAACAGGGAGGTCAGGACACTTTAAAAAGGGTAAATCGGCATCTCTAAGGTGAGGTGGTGAGGTAGAGAGAACATAGGTGAAAGTGGAAGAGGCAATTCTGATTTGATCCCCATCCCTGGTTGAAAATTACTGATCTCCTTTCTCTCATGTGTTCATTCATTCGTTCAGTGAAAACTTCTAAAGCATTACTTTGAGGTAGGCACTGTGCCATATAAGCGAAATCATTATTTTCTATTTCCCATTAAAACTTATTTAAGTCCACTAGTTAGAACTATAAGTTAAGTACCACTGTAGCCCAGCAGATTCATTGCCTTGCCAGCAAAACCAGAATTCCTGAAACTTGATACAAATCTATAAATTAATCGCCATGGATCTTCTCATATATCAAGTAATCACTTATTCACACAGAAAAAAATGAACATTTAACCCTCTAACACAGATGTCCATTCTCTCTTCTTCCTGATGAATTAAATTTCATAAAATCTCTAGAGGATGCAAAGTCCACAACCCCTACCAGCTGGAAAAAAAAAAAAAAAAGAGGAGGAGGGGCAGACACCTCTCTAGTGTTCCACAACATCCAAGCAGTCCTGCCCTGGGGGATGGGCACGAGTGTAGCTCCTTCGGCAGCTCTAACGCTGGATGATGATTTCTAACCCGAGTGTCCTGATTTTCCAGACCTCCGAGGGGTCTATGGGACACATAAGTATCTGCAGCATCAACTACTCTGGAAAAACATAAGAAAATCCCAGAACCAAACTTGACCACTGCAGCCCCTCGTTGTCGAAGAATCATTGTCTTTATTAAATAGCATTTCACCCCTAAAAAGCAATATTCCCCCAACCCCGGTACACACTGCAGTCCAAGCCCACACTGCCTTCACCAGCCACAGACAGGGCAAGGATTGTGTGATCTGGGGTAACAGGTAAGGAAAAGAACCAGAGTGAGCCCAAAGAGAAAGATGGCTTCCTTTCATTGTCACCAGAGTGCTGGGCAGTTCATTTCAGTTGTCCAGTGTCCATGACTGGTGAATTTAAAACGTGATTGGGGGAAGATCCAGATGCCTGGACTCCTCTCCCATTCTTGTGTAATAAAATATCCTTCAATTTAACCTATCACTGAAGCCTCTCTCCTCTTTGAAGGCTAAATAGAAGGTGGGAGGAAAAGAAGGGGAGTCCTGAGTAGCTCCAATAACCCAAAGAATGTTTAATGATCTCAGTGAGATACAAGGAAGAACTCCCTGAATCGCAAGGTAGCTAAATAAAGGGAGATTGTTAATAATGAGGAAATGGATTTCTCACATGGAGATTAATCCTCCTGAAGTGTTTGAGTTAAAACCTGTTCTAAAGTAGTGAGATGCTTTCTGGAACCATCAAGAGCACGGAATAAACTAGTTAGCAAAAGGAAATGGAACGCAATACAATACGAAAATGCAATTGATGCAATAGTAAAAAGACAGGCTGGAAATATTTACAAACGTAAATGAAAAAGACTTAAAAGTTTAGTCCCATCTCCTAGATCTCTAAATCGGAACCATTAGAGTAACTACTCCCACAGTGTTAGGGGCTTTTAAATTCTGATGACCTTCAGCAGCTAGAAGTGTTACTGATAAAGCCAAACTCCATGTTTTTAAATTTAATGTGAAAATAGTATTACAAAGTGCCTTTCTACCGCTTTTATCTTTATTCCTTTATAACAATCACTTTTACTCACTCCGCCCACATTCCCACCCTGCCCCAAACCACAGGAGCATCTGTAACACAGGCATCCGAAAGCTTCCAGATGTTACGAAGATCTTCTCCTCTGAATTTAATTTCATTCTGTAAGTACCAGGCTGATTGCTATGCATAACAGTTTCCTATTTGCATCTGAAATTTGCAAAGTAAATATTTCTCATTTCATTCCTCAAGGGAAATTTGTGATAACTTACACATAACCACGGTACCAGGAAATGCTTTTCAAGGGATGAATAACGAATCCATAACACTGTGAGTAAACTGGCATATTCACGCTCTGCCATACAGTTCCTGCCATTCCCACTTCTAGCTTGAGGTGGGCTCTTTCTCATCTTTTACCATGTTCCTGACTCTCTGGTGACATTCTTTTTGACCTAAAATGCCAAGGGTGAGAGGAGTTGTGTGGGATGGCAGCTAGGTCACATGTTCACATGACAACCAACCAACCCATTAAGTTCAAAATTAATCAAATGGGCCCTGAGGATTTACAGTGACCAAATTTCCAACTGATGAAATTATTCACTACATCAGTGGACTGCTTTGAAGCTAAGAAGAGACAGCCTGGAGGGGAGTCGCTGCCCTGGTTAAAAGAGAGCATAGAAATTTCAAGTTTCAACTGAGAAGAGTTTGAAAGGATATTCTCCAAGTAGGTAGAGTAGTTGATCAATGGACCCTGCTCTCTCTCTCTCTCTCTCTCTCTCTCTCTCTCTCTCTCTCTCTCTCATTTTTCACCCTCCCCTTAGAACCTGCTCACTTTGCTTCTGAAGGGACACCATCGATGCCCATTCCCTAAATCCTTTAATACCTGAAAATAATCTTTTTATCTGGCAGTCACTTATCAGGTTATCAGGCTCACAGGCCTATCCCTTTCATGCTCTTTCCTAAGGCCTTGCTACTAAAAGTATGGTCCATGGACAAGCACCTACAGCGTCTTCTGAGAGCTGGTTAGAAATGCAGACTCTCAGGCCCATCCCAGACCTACTGACTCAGAATCTGCATTTTCATAAGATTCCAAGTGATTCCCATGCACGTTAAAGTTCAAGGGGCATCATCCTAAGATAACCCAACTCATTCTCTTCACTGTACACCTGCCCGGCTTCCTTCCCCTGGGATCCCTGCCATCTTTACATGGGGCACCTTCCTTTGCCCCACCATTCAGAGGCAGCATCCTGGGTACCATGTCTCATTTATGTCCAAAGCCCAGTGACAAGTGTTCAACCCTGCTCCCCACATCCACATCCTCTCACTCATTCTGCTTTGGTTACAGCCCATGGCAGGATCTGTGATGAGGCCATAAATGAGCTTAAATGTCCTTAAAGAAAGACGGAGCGTGCATTGGGTGACCCTGAGATGAGGAGGTAGTTGTGAAACAAGAGAAGTGACCATCTCAGAGGACTCTCTTCTCTACAGTGGATTCTAGAAATTGGTATCAACGGTACACTGCATTTGAATAGTACTTTTACTTTGTGTAGGTGTAGTTCAACACATGCAAGTGTCATGTTACAAAGCTGTGGCCAATACGGCATTGACTCAGAGTGTTGCAGTCAAAAGAATACAGAGCAGCAACCAAAAATAGTTTCAAAATAACTCAAATTCTTAACTTAAAACTCTTGAACACCAGAAATGAGACTAGACCCTAGAAAACCTTCTCTACAGTCTTTCTACTCCTCCATTTCCCTCATGTACTGTAGCTCTTCCAGCTGTTTAGAAAGTGTTTCTGACTCACCATTGTATACGGATCTGGAACTACTCATTCATCATGCCCCCTGTCAGAAACAGGGCATTTACAGAGCAAACACTGAGTGGGGAGGTACCTCACGCTTTAGGATTTGGGGTCTTTCCACGTCTTTATTGAGGACACAAAAGACATGTAAGATCCATGGCTTTGAGAAGCTCATAATCTCAATGGGGGAAAACATGAAAGAAGGAAAGAATAATACAAGCCACTAGACATTCACTGTGAGTGTGTGGTACACAGAAATGAGAAGTATTGGAGAAGTCCTCTTGGGCTGGAGAATCGGAGAGGCTGCAGACTTGAGTTAGACCTTGTAGAATCAGTAACATTTGTATGAGTAAAAGTGATAAAAGCAGCTAATATTTATATAGCACTGACACTGTTTTAAAGTACTTTTTTAAACTCATTTTAGTCCTGCAGCAGCCCTATGAGGTAGGAACTATCAGCCCCACTTTTAGATGAGGAAACCAAGGCACTGAGAATTTAAGTAATTTGGCCAAGGTCAAGCTTTAGACTCGGACAGTCTTGGCTCCAGAGTCATGGTCTTACCCATTTTGTGATACCATATACCGAGAAAAGGGGAATGAATATTCCAAGTGGACGTGAGCGAAAGCATGGCTGTGGGAAGGAGGAAAATGGGATGAGGCATACTTATTGCGAGTAAACATCCTGCTTAAGAAACGGAAAATACATTTAGATAAATGGCGGGGGTGGAGGAGACACTGGATTGCAGAGGGTTTTAAATGCAGGGATAAGGGGCTAAAGGCTTAGAAATAACCCTGAAAAAAGTATTAAGAAGAAACCACTCAGTAGAGTAGACTTTAATTCAAAGATCACAAATATCCAATACTCCCTTTGATTTTCACCTAAATCTAAAAATAAGCAGGAACCAATAGGTACTCCTCCCAGATACATGCACAGCAATGGGGGTGGAGTGGAAAAAGAATGAAAGAGCGGAAGATGTGGAAGAGGACCAATAAGAAAATGAACGTTGAGATAACCCATAGGGGCCTATGAGCTCACAAGATGGGGCCACCCCACCGACGCCAAGGGACAACTAAAGGTTTCTTCTCACACATCACATTTCAGCATTGGTACATAAGAGCTGCACAGTGGTTTTATTAGGGGCCATTAACTTATTTTCGTTATGATTTTAAGAAGAACAGTGCCTACCGGCAGGGCACAACTGCCCCACCTCTGAAGTTAATGACTGCAGCTCCATCTCTCCCAGAGAGCGTGCGTTGGGAGCGTGCATTGGCATTGTGCTTCCAGCGCCTCCTCACTCTTGGCCCTTCATCTGGAAAGAAGTGATTAGTCATTCGCTTGGCACCTGTTCTCAGCCGAATGGGCCCTTCTGTAAGTGAAGGACCATGTGGAGCACCCCGTCGGAAAAGGGTATTACATTCAAAGAGGAAAGCCTTATTTCCTGAGCTATAAAGTTCAACTCTCTAATTAGAAAATAATGAAAGCAAGCCTTCTCTTTTCATTATTAGTAGTATTTGAGAGTTTGGTTTTCATGGAACCTTTCCTGTCCTCCCTCCACCCAGATCTTTACCAACTGTGAGCTCATTTAATGAAAACAAAACACTTCACTTGATGCTCGAGAAGCTCAGTGGGGCTAATGCTAAAGCTATGCATTATGCTGTTATGTCCCTTCATAGCCAATTTGGCTTCTCATTAAATCCCCTCAGGAGGCTACCTTGAAATGTTCCCCCCTGAATGCGCAGGGTTTGGCTGCACCACCTTTCAAATATTCTAGATGACTTATCACACCAGTCTCAAAAAGGAGTCAACCTTGATTCACGTCTGAACTCCACACAGAGAAGGAAAGATCACAGCAATTAATTCTCTAAGACCCTTCGGAGAAGGGTGACCTGGCAAAGGAAGACAAGACTCCAAGCTACACCTGTGACAAGCCGCAGTGGAGAGGCTACTGGGCGCTGAAGTAGAAAGCCTGGCTTCCAGTCCTGGCTCTGAGTCTAACCAGCCTTAGTCGAGTCACACCACGGCAACATGCCTCTGCCTCTGTCTCTCCAGTGGGATTATTAATACCTCCTTGTGCAAATTCAATTACATTGTGTCAACTACACTGTACCACCACTTAAAAGCTCATATTCAGCAAGCCAGTTATTTCAGACCATCATGAAAACATCGTGTGTCATCTCTTTTTAAACATTTTTTATTTTGAAAATTTTAACTGACAAATGGAATCCATTTGTCTTTCCACTGACAAGTGGAAAGAACTGCACGATGAGTAGCCCTGTACACCTTACCGAGTTTCACCTACTATTAACAGCTTACCACACCCACTCCATCTCTAGATAGCTAAGTACATACAACGCATTTCCCTCTTGCCAAACCATCCAAAAGAAGTCTATAGGCATCATGACACTTCCTACCTAAATTCTTCAGCATGTATCTCCTTAAACAGAAACATTCTACATTACAACACCGCTACACCTAAGAAAATCAGCACGGATTTAATGACATCATCCAACCTACAGTCTATATTCAAATGAAAATGTCTTTTATAGATTTCTTTAAAGTCAGAATTCAAAGTTTATACATTGCATTTTTACTGTTATGCGCCTTTGTCCTCCCAACCTTACCTCCCATCCCCCCCTCCTGAGAACTGCCCCCCTGCCTTCCTCTGTTCTGTATGACACTAATTCCTTTGAGGGCCCAGAACAGTTGTCTGGACTCATCTGACTGCATTGTCCTGATTAGATTCAGGTCAACATTTCTGCAAGAATACTGCAAAGGGGAGGTTATACATCTCCCACTGCATCCAACCAGGAGGCCCATTGTGTCACGTTGTGCCACTCCTTGGCCATCTGGTTAAGGTGGTGATTGCCAGACCTCTTCATTGTAAGGGCACATTTTTCCCTTTGTCGTAAATAAGTAAACTATTGTGGGATACTCTGAGTTCATGTGACTATCGAGTTGGCCAACAACCTTTCGCCAACGGTTTCAGCATCTGTTCATTACTGAGTTATTATATAGAGAGCTACAAAATGATGGTTTTAAACTTATCACTCCTCTACATTTATCAGCCAGCCCTCTTCTGTATAAAAGAGGTTTCCTTCTTTTTCCTTTTCCTCTCTTTCTCTCTTGCTCTCTCTTTTTTTCTAAAATCTTTATTGGAGTATAATTGCTTTACAACGGTGTGCTAGTTTCTGCTTTATAACAAAGTAAGTCAGCTATACATATACATATATCCCCATATCCCCTCCCTCTTGTGTCTCCCTCCCACCCTCCCTATCCCACCCCTCTAGGTGGTCACAAAGCACCGAGCTGATCTCCCTGTGCTATGCGGCTGCTTCCCACTAGCTATCTATTTAATATTTGGTAGTATATATAAGTCCATGCCACTCTCTCACTTCGTCCCAGCTTACCCTTCCCCCTTCCCGTGTCCTCAAATCCATTCTCTACGTCAGTGTCTTTATTCCTGTCCTGCCCCTAGGTTCTTCATAACCTTTTTTTTTTTTTTAAGCCTCCATATATATGTGTTAGCATA